CCACCAGTCCAGTTCCTCCCTGGATTCTTCGTCCAGCGTGATGTTGGATTCGTACGACTGACCCTTCCTTAGGCAGGAAGCCTTTAGGCGTTGTAGCGCCCGATAGTGTAGCGGTCCCGGGAAGATCGCCTGTATAGAGGATGCTAGTAAGCCGATTACCCGAGCCAGTTGTCTTAGAGAAATGTCCGAACGGTTCATTATCCTCCTGATCTCCTTCTTGATGTTGGACATCTTGTCTGAAGGGAGGCACAGGATTTGTTGTACCGAATCGACTCGGAATCCTAGGAATTCCATCTGTTGAGAAGGTTGTAGCACCGATTTCTCCCAGTTCACTAGAAAACCGAGGTTCTGCAGGAGGTGAAGGGTCCACGACAGGTGTGACAGCAGAAGGGATCGTGTCCCAGACAGTATGAGGATATCGTCCAGATAGATAATGAGGCGAATCCCGTGTAATCTGAGAAATGCTACCACTGGTTTCAGCACTTTCGTAAAGCACCAGGGAGCGGAGGAGAGCCCGAAAGGGAGGCAACAGAAGCGCCATTTCTTTGTGCCCCACCGGAACTGTAGGAGATTCCTGTGTGTTGGTGCTATCGGGATCGTGAGATATGCATCTTGCAGATCGAGTTTCACCATCCAGTCTCCTGGGAGAAGGAGGTCTCGGAGGCAGTGTATGCCCTCCATTTTGAAATGCCGATATTGTATGAAGGCATTGAGGGGTCTCAGGTTGATAACTGGGCGGACACCCCCGCCTTTCTTCGGCACCAAGAACAGGTTGCTTATAAAACCTGGGGTATCTAGAGGGATTTCCTCTATGGCATTTTTGTTGTACAAGGTTTCTATCTCCGTGGAGATGAGGTCGTAGTGAGACTGTGGCATGTGTGGCACACGCGGGAGGGAAACCTGAAAGGGAAGACCCGTCAATTCTAGTTGGTAACCCTCTACAGTCTGCAGTACCCAACTGTCGGACGTGATAGTGGCCCACGTTTGAGAAAACAAAGCCAGTCTGCCCCCCACATTTATATGGGAAAAATGGGGAAAAATCGTACTCACCATAAGGGCGTTTTCCTGGGGTTGTTCCTCTGCCGCCACGGGCATTCCAAGATCTTCCTCGAGAAGGGAAGAACGGGGTGTAGGAACGTTCCTGGGTCTGTCTCTGTGTGTTGGAGGAGCCTCTGCCCGGTCTGGAGAAACCCCGGGGGTTGCGGCCGGATAGACGGCTCCTACCTCTACCGGCCCCACCGAAAACCTTTTGGTGGAATACCCTCTTCATGGATGATTGGGCTTTATCCAGCGCCGTGAATGTTTTGACATAGGAGCCCAGGTCTTTGACGAAGGATTCGCCAAACAAGAGACCCTTAGCCGCGGCCCCTGGTTCAGAGGAGGCCATACTAGCCAGTTTGGGTTCGATTTTCAGCAGGATGGCCTTCCTGCGTTCTCTTGACATGGCAGTATTGGCATTGCCGATCATGCAGACCAAGCGTTGGAGCCATCCAAACGCTACTTCAAAGTCTACTGGAGCCTCACCCGACTGAGCTGCTTCCAGCAGTTCGTATAATTTAGTGACAGGACCCAGAGTGTCTAGGAACTTGTCCTGACAATTACGGAGGGAGTAGTCCAGTCCCCTCTTGGCCTTCCAGCCTGTTTTGGCTAGAAACTGGGCTATCTGAGGGTCCACTTCTGGGGTTTTTGCCACAGCATCAGGGATTATGGGTCGGGGGCACTCCGCTCTCAATTTATTACGGCTCTCTTGAGAAAGGGACTTACGTACCCTGAGGGCTAGGTATCGGGCGATGTGTTCAGATGGTTCCCACTCGGCAGAGCGTGGGTGTCTTAAGTTGTCAGGGTCGAATAGCGTGACCTCTTTAGGGTCACGGGCTGCTTCTGCCTCGGGCGTCCCTGCATGAGCAGTGGTACGCGTTGCCGTCAAGGGGAACTGCTTTCCCTGGAGGCTTTCACCCTCTGAGAGCTCGTCCTCGTACGGGTCAGAGTACGGGGCGTCAGACCCCTCATCCCCCTCCTCGTCTGAGTCAGACAGTATATCATGGGCTCTAGCCCTTTTCCAGTCTCTGGTAGCCGTAGCTCGCCCAGAAGCTCTATTGCACGGTTGTTGCGCGCCATCATGGACAGCCTGAGGCATGTCAGTCAGAGCAGGGTCAACCTGCATGGGGGGGGGGTCTTGTGAATGTCTGCGTTTGGTTAACGCTTTGCGCCCTGGTAGCGACCCCTTAGGAGGGGTATGGGTCAAGGCAGGGGTAGAGAGAGGTTGTACCTGCTTGAGTGCCTGTGTAATGGAGTCCGAAATAGTAGAGGACATAGCTCCCATGGCTGAAGATATGGCCTTGGAGATAGATTTGGACATGGTGGAATCCAGGAGGCACTGGAATTCTTCAGAACCCATGAGCCCAGGGTCAACTTGGAGGTCAGGGTCAGCCATGGTCATAGGGGTGCCAAATTTGCCAGAGGATTTATCATCAGCCTGCATGGCCAGGATAATAGAGAGAAAAGTAATAAAACAAGAAATAGAAAAACTTGGAAAGAAGAGAAGGTATAGAAAAATACCAGGATTGATTAACCCAGGTATAGTAGTGGAGTGTATAGGAAGATGGAGGGATATCCAGCTTATCACAGAGATAGAGCCACAGAAAGTTGAAATCCCGCGTGTGGGAGAGGCAACACAGACATAAACGGGTATAGAAAATGGCCGCCGCCCTAACCGGCGACCAAAGAAACCAAAAAGATGGCCGCCGCGAGTAACCGCGCATGCGTGTTGCTCGCGAGCGGCGAAACCAAGGTGAGGGGGATCGCCGCGCGGACTAGAAGTAGGTCCGGCCGGCGGGGACAAAATAGTGCCGGGAAGCGCCGCGGGTGTCTCCGATGAGCCCCGGCGGCGAAAAAACCGGCAGAGAGTTTGACCAGGGCAGAGCCCCCACGGAGGGGACCGGAGGGAGGGAAGAAAAACTAACCCTAAGGGTCAAACTAGTAGTGTCCCAGTCACCCTAAAGATAAAGGCACAGCCTACAACAGAGCAATAAAACGGAGTAAAGGGGGTAAATAAATATCCCCACAGCAGTTAAAGTAAAACATTCACTAAATAAAATAGCAAACAGTAATATAATGAAAATCTGAAATAAGAATAAACCCACAGAGCACACCATAGAAAATATGAGAGTGTACTTATCTTCTGAGGGAGCAGCGAAGAAAGAGGAAGAAGCATGGAGTGCTACACCTTATATACTAAGGGGGTGGATACCTATGAGCACTGTTCCATATGCTAATGTTATTGTTATTTTTTCTCTCATTTGCATATATCTCTCTTCGCTGCTGAGGGAGAATTAAAGAAAGAGAAGCATAATAGGAGCCTCCGTGTCTTTAATAAAATCAGTGTTCAGAAGCAATTCCTCTTTGAGCAATTTAGTGAAGAATACAAATGTCCAGAACCACATATATAAAGTAGGAATTGCTTAGTGTGTTTCCAAGAAAGCCTTTGGATGTCCCCATTTGAATGTTAGTTTGTTTCAAAATAAATTACAGTTCATACCAGAAAGACCGCTTAGACCGTTCCTCAAATGTTGTGCTTTCAATCTCTGTAGAGCATGATAATAGATAAAAACTGGTAAGATTGCTTGAATTATGATAGAAGTCCTACAATGCAAGCTAGCATCCTGAGTAATACAGATTCTTTAATACTCATTTAATATCCTTCCAAATGATTTTCAGTTTTGTTCCTGGTAAACTTAATGTTTTATATTTAGCAAATCGATCATGAACCCCAAAAAAGTGTTGTTTTGGATTCAGTCCGAATTCCCCCCCAATTTATTACAAAACACAGACTCTAATTGATCTAACATCCATTTCAAACGGATTTCCATTGTATGTTGATCTTTTGCCATGCTCAACATGTCCAAATATATGATCATTCTGTGAAGCACCAACGGCCTAAGGAAAGGCTGAATGGAAGACTGAAGAATTGCCATTTTCTCTTTTTCCATAACAATTTTGGGATTCTGAATGCATAGGAACAGTTGAATATGCAGCCTTCAAATCTATTTTTATTAACCAAATCCCCTATTTTAGCAGATCCCTGAGCTAATTGATCTCTTTCATTTTGAAGTGATTTTAATAAACCCACATATTTATGAACTTTACATTGATACTGGTCTCAAGCAAGCAGTCTTTCAGCTCATCAAGAAGATGTTGCTTACATAGCATGCACATGTCATAGGTATCTCTTTTATTGCCCTTTTGTATAATAATTCCTGAGTGTCTTAATCCACCAATATTCTCTTCTCTTTTGAGAAGATAACAGGGTTAGGTGTTTTCCTCTGAATTGGTATTTCTATAAAGTCTATTTAATATCCTTTTACTGTGTTTAAAATTCATACATCCGAGGTGATCAGAGACCAGTAACAGAACAAATGGGCACACATGCCACTCCGTTTTCTGCATAAAGAAGATTGAACACTTGCCTGAAAAAGGTCTGGGCTTCTGATTTCCTCTCTGGGCTCTGGCTCTCCACACTTTTCGTCGGGATAGGAAAAATTGCAGATTTCTTGAAAACTAAGATTGGGTTATACTTTTGGTGCATCCAGCAGTTTACCAGACTTTAGGTCCCTTGAATGATGCTGGACGTCCTCACACTCTGCATGACGACATCTTGCATCAGTGAAATCCACACAGGAAAGCATTTAGTCATTGCTTTCCTATGAGGAGGGCCTAATGCACTTGCGGCATTCGAAGAAGAATGTAGTGATGCAGTAACAGAAATATAGGTAACCTAACAAAATAATTGAAAAAGCATCAAGGCCAAAATGTCTGAAATTAGATTAAACATGATAAAGATTCATTGATAGGCCAGTTGCGTAAAAAAATACAGAATCATGCTTACTTCCCAAAGATGAAGGCATTTCATCCTTAGTCATCTGAGATTTCTTCAATATTATAGGATCCTCTGAAAGTGTCCAAGCCACCAACTGACGATGGTTTTGAAGAATGCCCTGAGTCTGGATTTGTTGAATCATCCTTGCTTTTCTAGCAAGTGTCAGGAATGTGTAGGTCCCTGATTTCGGTCAAGTTTAGAGGAATGTGTCTATTGCTTTGCAATCAAGTCTCGAGGCTAACATTAAAATCAACGCGATTAGCAATTGTTACATTAGTTGAAAAGATCAACTGAGAAAAGACCCCAAAGATTGGAGGATGGTGAACACCGATCTGTCCAGCATTGAGTTGTTGGTGTCCCTCCAATGCCTGGAAAACCAATCCACAGACAGGCTGGCCAGGCCTGGTAGCAAAACTGGTAAGAGTCTTTGGTGATTTCGGACAACAATTGACATCTGACCCCTCCGAGATGGTAGATGTATTGAACTTCTGATATGATGTCCATACATAAGAGGAAGCAGCAATTTGCTTAGTCTCTTGCAAGAGTGGTAATTGAGAAAGATCCCTCAATTAATTCCAACAGTTTATGTGTAATGAAGATTCAGACTCTGACCATGGACCTCCTGTAGATCCCTCCATGGATGACACCCCTTATGAGAATGGATGATATACCCATGTCTACGGGTTCCACTCCCCATGGGTCGGACAGTGAGTTCTGGGAAAAAGTTGGAGGTTGTGGACTTCTGAGGTTTTATGTGCCAAAAATGTGTAATTCCCCATTCACAAAGCTGACTTTCCTCAAGTAATTTTTATAAATGGGGAGTTACTGATTGGCTTATAGATTCAATTGGCAATCTCAGCCAATCAGCAGCACCCCTGTTCATGTCATTCTGAGGGTTTCTGTTTGAAGAACCTGAGAGCAGCAGAAAGACGAGGGAGAGCTAAATGGCTCTGGAGAGAAGATATAAAGGTAAGCTGGTACCATGACCTACTGGCACCATATCAACTTTATTCTGATTAAGTTTTTATGGCTGAGGTTCCCTTAATAGCAGCATTAAAGGTTTCTGACTGTAAAATTACATGATAGTCTCTGGTTGATGGCAAGCACAGATCTGCCCCCCTATCTCCTTCCTTCTTCTAGAAACAGCTGCACGAAGGATATAGAATCTAAGTTTGTGTTATTTAGTTGAGAATGCAATAAGATAAAAATGCAATAAGACACAACCATGAGAACATACAACATGATTATTTTTCTAATTAACACTATCTGCTTCTGTAAAATAGCTTGCATCTCCGATATCAACTGCTTTTTAATTTCATTACAAGAATAACACCCTCTGAACAAATTTCAGTGACACTCTATTTTGTCCAGCAACGGCTAGATTTAACTATCTAATATCCCTTTGATCAGAGCCAGTCCAAGACATTGTGCTGCCTGGGTCCGAGGAGAAAGTGCTCCCCCCACCCACCCGAAACCATGCCACCAACATATAACAGAAGCAGAATATGTGTGTATAATGGATGCAGTGTATGTGTTTGCGTAGTAGATAAAGTGTATGCGTGCTGCAGTATGTCAAGGGGATGCAGTATCTGTGTGAGTGATTTTGGCTGCAGTGTGTGTGCTGGAGATGTAGTGTGTCTGTGTGTGCTGGGAATTAAATGTGACTGTGTGTATCCCCAACACACACACACACACACACATTCTCTCTTTCTCTCTCCCCAGCACACACACGAGGGGCAGAGGGAGCTGCGCACATCATCACCCCCCTCCCTCCTTGTATGAGTGTGAGTAAGCTTGTGAGGGAAGGGGGTCTCAACTGCACTGAAGGAGAATGTTCAGGGCTGACTCACTGTGTTGGCCGGCACTGTGTCTAAAAGTACTGCGCCTGGGGCGGAACACCCCCCCACCCTCCCCAGTTACCCCACTGCTTACTGCTGTTAGCCAATGACAAGGGCGGCAATATGCCACCCCTGTCAAAGTGCCGTCTGAAGCTATGGTTCCACCGGAAACAATGGATGGGACGGCCCTGCTCTTGATGCCTGCTCAAAGAGACTAATCTGAAGAATCGAGAATTTATGTTCCACCTTTGAGTACAGAGGTGTGACTGACACCTGCCTGTGTGCTCATGAGGAAAATACTGTATATCTGACCACTGGCCATGTATTCTGCAGGAGAAGGAGAGATAGGTACCTGTACCTCCTGCATGTTGGGAGAAGAACGTGCGAATCCCCAGCAGGTTTGAAAAGATGGTGTTGTCTTCACAATTGAAAGAGCTGCTGAGAGCGGGAGAATACCTAAAGCTTTTGTCACCATTTGAGCGGATTCCTGTTTTTTTCACCCCCAACTTTAAAAAAAAAAAAAAAAAAAACCCCACAGACAGTCATTTAAATTTTCAAGAATATTTATTGCACAAAGTTGTAAGCTACAATAAAGTCTAATGGGCCTTGGAGAAGCATCTCTCTAACACTCTGGATTCTATTCACAATATAGTAATATAACATAGCTCTCTGATACCCAGCCCAAGTTCTCACCTTAATTGCTGTTGGCGGCAGGCTGCTGAAGCTGGCAGGCTGGCTGCTGTGGCTGGTTGTCTGCTGTGGCTGGTTGGCAGGCAGGCCAGATGGAACATGTGGCTGACTGGTACACCTATCTCTTTCCCAGCAGGTGTCTGTTTCTCCCTAAACCCCTTTGTGTTTCTCTTCTTCTCCTTTCCCTCTATGTGTTTTCTTTTTCCCCTTCCCCTCTGTGTGTCTCTTCCCCCCAGCCCTCCTGTGTGTCTTTTTGTCCAACAGCCTTCTGTGTGCCTCTTTGTCCCCTCATCCCCTTTGTGTGTCCCTTTCTGCCAAAGCTCCTTTGTGCATCTGTTTCTCCCTCAAACCCTTTGTGTGTCTCTTTTTTCCTCTTACCCAGACCCTCAATGTGTCTCTTTGTCCCCCCTAAGCCAGTCTGTGTGTCTTTTTGTTCCCTGTCAGATCCTCTGTGTGTATTTCCCCCAGCCCCTTTGTGTGTCTTCCCCCTCCCCCTTGCCTTTATTTTGCCACCCCACCCATGCCCTTCGTTGGTACCCTATCCTCCTGTGCTCTTCTTTTGCCCCTTTCTCACCTCCTGTGCCCTTCTTTCTCTTCTTCTCTCCCCGTGCCATCTTTATCCCCTGTCACCTTCTGTGCACTTCTTCTGTGCCCCCTTCTGTTCCCCCCTCTGCCCTCTTTTATCCACCTCCTGTGTCATTCTTTGTCCCCTCTTGTGCCCTTCTTTGTTTTAAAATTTTTTGCACCCCTTCCCTCCTTTGCCTTTTTTAGCTCCCCTCCCCTCCTTTGCCCTATTTAGCCTTCCTCCCCTACTGTGCCTGTTTGGGTTCACTTGAGTTGAAAGATCCGCAGAGTAACCTCTGTTTCTTGTACCAGGTCTGACAGGAAGCAGTTCTTGTGCTCTCTGCAAGCACTTCCTGTCGGACCGAGTAGGGAAACAGAGGCTGCCTGCTCGGTGTGGTCTGCCTGCTTGGTGAAGTTACATGCAGTGACCGGCAGGAGGGGAATGCTGTGCAGTGCACTCCCATCCTTACAGTCATTGGGTGATCGGGTCCCCCGGGCATCCCCCTGATGAGTGGCACCCAGGGCGGACTGCCCCCGACCTGCTCAAACTCCCACTACTCTTGGGCGGCAACAACAACCATAGTACACATCAGCCCTAATACATACAGTAAAAATCAAAGAAAAAAAGTGGGATTTTGAGCACAGGACTTTTTTTCTTTGTATTTGTAGTCACTTTTGTATCACACAGCTATGTTACAATGCTGCCGCCCATCCCATGTGTTCCCTGTTAATAAGCATGTAGGGGTGTATATAAAAAAATACCCCTCTCTGTCTCATTAGAGATATCTTTGCCAGAAGCTCAAGGAAGCAAGGTGAATGGTTAATGTAGGACCCACCTAAGAGGTTTGCCTTGACGTGGCAGGTGGGCATTCCCTCTCATGGCCATTGGAGTAACTAAATACTACTCCATACTAATTTGCCCCTTTCTTACGCAAGACACTACTAAGGAGCTTGTCCATAGTTACATAGTTATGTAGCTGAAAAGAGACAGCTCCACCTATTTGTTGTGTATTATATGAAAAGAGACTTGCGTCCATCAAGTTCAGCCTTCCTCACATATGTTTTTGCTGTTGATCCAAAAGAAGGCAAAAAACCCAGTCTGAAGCACTTCTTATTTTGCAAAAAACTACGAAACAAGTCTTCTTGACCCCAAAATGGCAGTCAGATATCTCCTTGGATCAAGCAGATATTACCCCACTAATTAGAAATTATATCCCTGTATGTTATGTTTTTGGAAGTATTTATCCAATTCCTGTTTAAACATCTGATAAAACCACCTCTTCAGGCAGTGAATTCCATATCCTTATAATTCTTACTGTAAAAAAAACTTTGCCTTGGATTAAATCTCCTTTCTTCCAGCCTTAATGCATGACGGCGTGTCCTATGTATAGCCCTGTTTATAAATAGATTTCCAGATAATAGTTTGAACTGGCCCCGAATATATTTGTATAATGTTATCATATGCCCTCTGAGGCGCCGTTTTTCCAAACTAAAGAGATATAAATTTTTTAACCTTTCTTCGTAACTAAAATGCTCCATTCCTTTTATCAATTTTGTAGCTTGTCTGCACTTTTTCTAGTGCCATGATATGCTTCTTTAGAACAGGTGCCCAAAATTACACACCATGTTCAAGGTATGGTCTTACCAGAGATTTATAAAGAGGCAAAATTATATTGTCATCCTGAGAATTTATGCCCCTATTTATACATGACAATACCTTACTGGCCTTAGCAATTGCAGATTGACATTGCATATTGCAGCCTAATTTGTTGTCTATAACAATGCCCAAATCCTTCTCGTGTCTTCTTATCCCTAATTCACTACCATTTAGGGTGTAAGTTGCTTGTGCATTCTTGACCCCAAAGTGCATAACTTTGCATTTCTCTACATTAAATTTCATCTGCCATTTTAGTGCCCAGCCCCCCAATCTATCTAAATCCCTCTGCAGCAAAGCAATATCCTGCACACATTTTATTACTTTTCAAAGTTTTGTGTCATCTGCAAACACTAAAATATGGCTTTCAATGCTAATTTAACATTATTTATAAATATATTAAATAGAAGCGTTCCCAAAACAGAACCCTGAGGGACACCACTTACCACTTTTGTCCAGCTTGAAAATTTACCATTAATGACAACTTATTGTACTCTATCCTTAAGCCAATGTTCTACCCAAAAATAACAATATTCATCTAGACCACTTTCATTCCATGCTCTAGTAACCCCTCTCATGGATTATTGTAACTCTCTCCTAATAGGTCTTCCAAGAAGCTGTATTGCCCCGCTATAGCCTGTAATGAATTCTGCCACCATACTGATTTTTTCCTCTCCAGTCGCTCCTCTCACACCTCACCCCTCTGTCAGTCCTTACATTGGATTCCTGTATCCTATAGGAGTCAATTCAAAGTACTAATCCATGCCTATAAAGCACTGAACAATTTTAGCCCCTCTTATATATTTTCACTGATTCATAAGTATACCCCTTCTCAGTCTCTCCGCTCTGCCCATGACCTTCTCCTGTCCACTGCTCGCACCCGTACAGCCAACTCATGCTTGCAGGTCTGCTTGCAGGTGGCTCTCTTCTTTTGAAATAGTCTGCCCTCCACCATAGGAAAGCTTATGGCCTCCCAGATTAACCTCTGCCTAACATACCTGTCCCTTGCTCTCTCCTGAAGGGCAAGCACTCTACTCCTTTATCTCTACTTCACTCCCACCTTGTTTTATTGCTGTCTCCTGTCCTATTGTGTTTTATATCCCAGCTCATCTAGACTGTAAGCTTGTTTGAGCAGGGTCCTCTACAACCTGTTGTTCCTGTAAGTTTTTCTAATTGTTTCATTTATTGTTAACTCTCCCTCTCCTATAATATTGTAATGCTCTATGAAGTTTGTTTTGGCTATATAAGTGTCAATAATAATAATAATAAATAATTAAAAAATAAACAAGGTTGTTCAGATATAAAGATTTTACATATACCCCCAATAAGAAAATTGCATAATTAATGTTTTAATTGGGGGTATATCTACTAGGTGATTTGTAAAAAAACAAATAAAAATTGGACAGTGGGGTGTCCCTTTAAATGACGTTATTTACAAATTATTTTAGTTTCTTGAAAGCATTTTAGATTTGAGCACCTGACTTTAATTAAAAATTAACTAAATTCATACATGAAAACACCAACAAAATCTATGCAAGGCATTTAACAAAAAACGTGTGTTCCTTGAATTAATTATTACATCTTTATCAGCTGCATGAACTACACACAAGAAATGTGCATACACACACCAAATTCACGACCACAAAATTAAAGTGCTGTACTGTGCAATATAAAGCAAGTAATCATTACAGCTCATTGTGGTGGTTTTGGTGGAAATATTCTGTGGGTGCTTTGGTATGTGTTAAAGGGACACTATAGTCACCAGAACAACTACAGTTTAATGTAGTTGTTCTGGTGAGTATAATCATTGTATGCAGGCATTTTCAAAAGGCAGTGTTTACATTGCCCCTAGGGACACCTCCAAGGGCCACTCCTCAGATGGCCACTGGAGGTGCTTCCTGGCTTAGTGCTGGCTGCACAGTAGGCAGCAGTGCCGTTCAGCGTCTTCACGCTCTGCATGGGCACGCTAAATTGTGAGTGTGCAGGTGCTGATTGGCCAAAACGGCATTTGACCACGCCCCTTGTCGATTTTAGCCAATCCACTGCTTTCCCTATGGGAAAGCAGTGGATTGGCTAAAAATCGGCAATTTTGATGATGTCACCAAGGGTGTGGGGCCAGTGCCGGCGGACCCGCACGGCGCTGGAAACAAGGTGAGGGTTATTAACTTTTAAGGGGCTGGGGGGACAAGCCACCTAAATGGTGGGTTGTGCACTATGTGGCCAAGAAAACATGTTTTAATTTAAAACTTTTTTAGAAGCTGTTGTGTCTATGCAATATTCAAAAATTGCAACAGTATCTATATGGCCAGGGTTTCAATGTGATCCAGGCTTTAAATGGGAACTGTCACTTCTCATCTTCTTGCATTTGGCCACCTCCATCTTAGCCTTCTATCAGTCATAGTATTAGCTCTGTCCTAGCAGTAAAAGGGAAACTATAGTGCTAGGAAAACCAAGTTTTTTTTCTAGCACTATAATGACCTTCAATGCCCCCCTCCCCTTGTGTCCCCTTCCCTCCCCCTTGGCACTGAAAGGGTTAAAAACTCATCTGTCGCTCACCTGATTCCCTGGCACTTTGTGAAAAGAGGAGCATCAGTGGGGAGTGCAGCACTAGGCTCCACCCCTCATATTAGCCTATGCGCCTCGCATTAGGCTCCACCACTCGTGCTTGGCTCCGCTTATCACACTCTCACCTGGGAGTCTGGGAAAAAGCTAACACTGGTCATGGATGGACAATGCAGCACATATCCCACCGGTCCACCAGGGAACAGCTTTCTCTCCTCCCTAGCTCAAGGTATGCATCAGGGAGGGGGAAATAAACCAGTGTTTTCCCTCAGTCCCTATCTATCACAAACTTGCCTAAACCTGGTGCCGGCGCTTCCCCCTCTTCGGGCCGAGCGGGTAGAAAGCACCGCATGGTTTACTGGTTTACTGGTCTTCAGACCGAGACACCCGAACAGGATTTATGTTCACCTTCTGTCCCGCAAACAGCTCCCTCTGCTGGGTTGCGGGCACAACTACAAACCCTTAAAATACATTTTATTTTCATGAAGTCACACCCTTAACGGTCATCTAGTTGACCCAGGCTGTTTGAAGTCGCAGACATGACGTGGGCCAGTGAGAACTCATGTGAACCTACTTAAGGCCTGTTCTGGCCCTTAATGATTGCCCTCTTGATGCACGTAAGTGCTCAAAGTCTGTCTCACGTGTTATATCTGGATATTGAGCTTGGCTTATATTTGACTTTGTGTAACTCTGGTATCCTAAACCCACTTGTTTCTGGCTTCATGTATTTCTGGTATCCTAAACTGGCTAGTATCTAGTATCTCTGATTGTGGGATCCACCATTCATGTAAGTTGGGGTATGACCTTGTGATACTATCCCCCTAATTGTAGCCCCAATGCCCTACTACAACCCCTAAACCCCCCCAATTGCAGTCCCTAACCCCTTTACTACAGTCCCTAACCTGCTACTACAGCTCCTGAAGCCCCCAAATGCATCCCCTATGCCCTACTACAGCTCATAACACCCCTACTACAGCACCATACTCCCTATCACAGACCCAAACCACTCTACTACAGCCCCATACTCCCTACTACGGGTAATAACCCCCCTAATACAACCCCCTGATTCCTACTACAGCCCAACACCCTACTACAGCCCCTAACTCCTTACTGCAACACCTACGCCCTACTGCAACCCATACTATAGCCCCTTACTCACTAATACAGCCCCTAAACCCCAAATTGCAGGTCATATGCCATACTACAGCCCCTAACCCCCTACTACAGCCCATAACTACCTACTACAGCCCCATGCCCTACTATAGCCCCCAACTCTCTAATGGCAGCCCCTCTACCCCACTAGAGCCCATAACCACCATTTTTAGTCCTTAATGCCTTAACTTGCAGCCTCTTTCCCATACTACAGCCACTAACCCCCCTTTTGCACCCCATACTCCACACTAGAGACCTATTCCCTTACTACAGTCCCTACCACCCCCTGTCTGCCACTACTTTTCCTAACCCCCCAATTACAGCCTGTCACAAACTCCGGAACCAGACACACTGACAGAAAACAGACACAGGTATTGCAGTACCAGACCTTAGAGTGGCCGGGCTGTGCACACAGAGAGAAGTCAGAATACCAGCCAAAGTCAGAAGGAACCAGAGAGACAGAATAATCGATAAGGCAAGCCATGGTCAAGGGTCAGAGAAAGAAGAATAAATGGTGAGACAAGCCAAAATACGGTAACCAGACAATCAGAAAAATGGACGGACAGAGTATACGCGCTATTGGGCTAACAGAAGACCACAACTGTGCAACAAGGCAAGGAGGAAGTAAGTTTAAATTGGGTTAGAAAGATTATGATTGGCTAGTTTCCAGTTGGAATTAATTATCACATGTGGAAGGTATTTGTACCTTCCTTTTTGACCCCTGACATCATTATTGTGTGCCAAGTCAGGTGACTGACTCGGGCACATACTTAAACACGATGCATGCGAGCATTCAGCATCATAGATAACGCCGGCAAGACCCACGGAAAAAGGAACAGCCGCGAGTGGAGGGCAGGCATCAGAGTCACTGCTTGCGTGAGGACCAGTGGAGTTGCCGCAAGCGGCGGGCGAGAACCAGAAGATAAAAAGGGGTAGGTTAGCAGTAATAATACACTGGATAGGCAGCAACCTTACCGAGGGTAGCCCTCTCACCCTCTCTGTTTAAAAAGTGCAACATGGAGAAAGAATAGCTGCTCCGAGATAAGAAGTACTAAAAATATAAAAATACAGTAAATTATAAAAATATATTTAATATAAAAAGTCCAATGGAATGTCTGAGGTTAGATAGACTTGGTCACTGTATTTGCTGGTAGAGTGTCTTCTATGTTTCTAATAGTCCGTGATATGGAAGACACAAGGAGAAAGGACCAATCGTGCAGAGTGTATAGGATGAGTAATAAATAAATTAAAATATAAATGAAACACTCACATTTAAATGAGCTATGGCCAGCTCAGGTGTAACAGGCATACGGCGGAATGATCCCCGCTTATAGGATATGTGGGTGCTTGTCCTCCAGACGATAATGATGTGCAACTCTCAGGAGAAGGGGAGAATAAAAACAGCAAATAGTGCTCTCTGATGATGTGACGTAATATTGAATAAAATAAAATAAAATAAACTCACAAATGGAGTGCAGACGTCACTGAACTCTAATGGTAGCGTTGGTGGTATGATCCCCACCTCGGGATAAGTGTTTAAAAGATGAATAAAATGCCAGAAAAGTAAAATAGTTTGTAAAAAGGTAATGGCGCAGAAATCTAGCCAAAAATCATTTATTATATAAATTACACAATATTTAAAACCATTAACGCGTTTCACCACTAGGGTTTTATCAAAATGGAATAGGAATATCCTATAAGCGGGGATCATTCCGCTGTATGCCTGTTACACCTGAGCTGGCCATAGCTCATTTAAATGTGAGTGTTTCATTTATATTTTAATTTATTTATTACTCATCCTATACACTCTGCACGATTGGTCCTTTCTCCTTGTGTCTTCCATATCACGAGACGATTTGGACTATTAGCAACATAGAAGACACTCTACCAGCAAATACAGAGAACCAGAAGATGCCTCTCACAGTGATGCAATAAGTGAAACCGTCACAAAAGGTGTGGGGGCATCAGAAGCCGGCCCTTCTGATGCCCCCACACTGGCGCGATGAAGAAGCAGGCGCGCAGAGAAGGGGCCTGACACAGCCCTTATCTCCTCACTACCAGTACCCCTCCACGATTAGATTTTGTATCTGCCCTGGCATTGATAAGCTTGTTAGGCACAAAGATGGAACTACTAAGCTTTTTGGGCACAAAGATGTTACAGGTAGGCTCTTTGGGTACAAATATGGCACTGATGAGCTATTTCGAAATAAAAAATGGGGTATGGGGTATAATAAGCTTTTTATTGGCAAAGCTGGCACTGTAGGAGGTAGGTGACATGTTACCTGGTAAAGTTCGGGGACCCGAGATGGAGTGGTTCCCTAGAAAATGGGTTTGTTTAGAAGTGTTATGTTTGTGAAGGGGAGGAGTTAGCAATAAAGCTATGCCCACATGTGGCACCAAAAATATTCTTGCACCCAGGTATCAGTGACCTTAAGATTAGCCCTGACCACAACTCATGAGTTGCAGTTGTTGTTTGTACTTACATATATACTTTACAAAACATTCTGATTTAATATTATTTTCAAGTCAGTTCTTTTACAAAACCACTAGAGGTCACTGTAAGACAATGTATTACACTTCCAGAGCGAAACAGTGAAACAAGTTAATTTTAAACCAATGTATTAAATGACCTTTACACTGTCATAAGGGAAACTTTTCTTGATGCTTATTAACAAAACATGCTCATTTCAATTGGTCAATGTAACAGGTACAATTATCATAATCATTTTTAAAATAATATTAGTTTAGTGGCAAAAAAACGAATTGAAAAGAAAACACAATTGATTACGAAAACACAATAGGGGTAAATGAAAAGAAAGGAACAACATAGTACTTAACCGTGTTGATTTAAAATCAATGTTAGGTATAATTGGCCACTCACACTTTAATGCCATTATACACTTGGTGATGTCAATGAATATCTCCTGTTGCTGTACCTTAATAGCATTGGACCATAGATGTTGGAAAAAGAAAGTGAAAAAAAATATAGTGCAAATACCAATAAAGTGTAAAGACAATTTTAATTACTTACATATAAGTTAAAAACAGCAAGTATGGTAGCTAAATAACCAGTCCACCAGTCCTATGCATATATTCATTATTAACTATTATTTATCGTACTAGTTATATAATCGAATTACAAAATAGACAAATAGGCCCAAAAAGGGCACATGAGTCCAAGGATGGAGATCCCTCTAATAAATAAAACAATTATTAGAACAACTTTTTTAGAATATGCAATGATTAGAAATATTAGAGTAAGAGAAAGTATATATGCACATTAAAAAGCCATGAGGCTGTTTATCTCCCCCACTGGGACTACTGATCCATCTCGTACCGTATACGAGCCTACAATACGAGACAGCCCACACTACATTTCTATGACAATAAGGACCCACCTTCGGGGAAGCTGGATACCACAAGCCCCACCCTACCAGCAGAGTTAACCAGGGACAAGGGATGACTTGGATGGCGGGACACGGGTTACACCTGATGAGGAGGGAGAAGAAACACCATAATACATGGCACCTACACCACACAGACTGATTAGGCGGGATAAGTTCTAAGCTAAAATAGCTCAGCCAGGGCCCGAGCACTCACACACACGGCTCTTCACTTACATACTGATTACAAAACAAAAGTTTTAGTGTAGGTTTCTCTGGCGCTAAACTTCTATCATTGCAAATGTTAAGGCTTTGTTCCCCCGAGACAGACATCCTCTTTGTGAAGGAGCGCATATCCAGATAGCCATTAATATTATACCTG